TGGAGAAACGTCCGTCGGCCATGTCCTATCCCATCTGTCCGGTGACGAATTTTTTGTATTTCACATTTTCCCATTCAAATTCTTAATAAAAGTTTCCAATCATTCACTGTTTATTCTCCATCACCACCACTTACTAGTATTACTGACACTTATACGTAACAAACCATCCCCTAGCTCCCTCACCCACAAGGTACATAAATTGACAAGTTTCCGTCAAAAGTCTGGGAATGAACGAAAGAAATCAGAGCAGTGTTGTACGGTCCGTTTCCTTTTTATATCAACGGAAACTACTATAATTTTCACAAAAGTCAGGCTATTACGACCAACACTTGAAAGACGTGAGCTGGGGGTCAGACTGTCAGGAAATGAATGAGAGCGAGAACTGGGGTTACCTCAGACCAATATAAAACTTTTCCACTGACAGTTGAAGTTGAGGCCAAACTATTTAAAAAAGAAAATTCATTTTTATGAGAAAATTCTGTCAGGAGGTTCAGGTCTGACAGTCGTAATCAGTCACTCCGGGAAGACAGTTTAAAAAATCTGACTGTCACATACACAGGCAAGAGAGACACTTCAAATCAGTCTAACACAAACAGTCACTCAAGAAAGACACTTTATAATCTGACTGTTTTAAAGAAAATCACAGGAAAATTTTAAAACCCGACTGTCGCAAATTTGAAAAAAGATCAATCACAGTTCACAATCTAACTGTCAAAAACCAGTCACTCGGAAGGACAGGTTCATATAATAATAAGAATGTCGGAAACAAAGTGTGGTGACGGCAGCTGGTAGTGATGATGATGAAGACGGATTACCAGCTGAGGAAATATGACGAGAGATTTGTAAAGTCCACCACCATCTGCGACCCCACCCCACCTCCTCCTCACCCCCCTCCATCCCCCTCACCCCGCCCCCCTCCTAACCATGTCAAGTTCTCAGGGTGAATTAAACGTGCATTCTGAATTAAGCTGGAAAGAAAGAAGAGGAGAAAAAGAGGTGAAGAGAGAAGAAAGAGAGAGATGAAAAAAATCAAAAAATTTATACTTTTGTCAATAAGTACAAAATCGACAAAACCGACGAAATTTTAAAAACATAAAATAACCACAGAACCTACATAAACAAAAACAACAAAGTCAACTACAACAACCACAACAAAAGAACAACCACACCACAACACTTCCATCAGGTACATCAAAGGGTTCAACCACACAGAGAACAGGTAAGTAATAGTTACCTGGGCGTGTGACCCTCAATTCGATATTAATTACTAAATATTTTCTGAATACATATATACCAGCGTAAATGTATAGTCATGTATATCTGTATATGTATATGTGAATTATACATGAGGTAGATAATGAAATATATATATATTGATTAATGAATACTTAAGGATATACATACATGCAAACACGTAAACATATACTTACATTAACACACACACACACACACACACACACACACACACACACACACACACACACACACACACACACACACACGAACTAAACACAACACTAAATTTTCTTGCCTTTATCCCTTAATTAAAATCTAAATCACACCAGATCGTCCTCTACATTTAAATAACTACAAAATAACAAAAGAAAACGATGAAATTTAATCCCTTTACTAACTATAAAAAAACAAACTGGACAAAACCAATGATTTAAAATACATCACAGTGAATGTATTCTCTCAAAAGACACAATTTAATCATTTATTCTTTTACTTAAATATTTATCTTGTTAGTAGTGAGTCAATGTTTCAATAACCTAACTAACTTCAATGGAAAGATAGGAAGAGAAATTTATATTGCAACAAGTAATTAAGTGTAGTATATAAACAAGACTACAGCTGGGAGAGAGAGAGAAGGAGGAGGAAGAGGAGAAAGGAGGAGGAAGAGGGAGAAAGAGGAGGAAGAGGGGAAGGGAGAAAGGAGAAGGAAGAGGGAAAAGGGAGGGAGGGAAGAGGAAAGGAGAAAGAACAATGAGGGGGGGGAGGGAAAGGTAGGAAAGGAGGGAGAAAGAGTGAGAAAAGAGTGGGGAGAGAGAAACGGAAAGGGAGGAGGGAAAGAGACTCGAGGAGAGAAGAAAGAGGAGGAGAAAGAAAAGAAAGAAAAGGAGGAGGAACAGGCAGAACCACTTAACGCTACACACCTGGACAAGTCAGACCCGAAATTATTGTCAGTTCAGGAAGGCCGAGTCCAGGAATTGCTTCTCTGACCATGTATGTGTAAATATTTCTCTTTGTAAATACCAGTTTAAGTCTTGGCTCTTTGTGTGTGGTGTTCAATACAGGTGGTTTATTATTATTATTATTATTATTATATATTTTTTGTATGGAGTGTGTGTGTGTGTGTGTGTGTGTGTGTGTGTGTGTGTGTGTGTGTGTGTGTGTGTGTGTGTTTTACGTTTCTCACCTGTGAATGTATATCTACAAATATGCATACCTTATCGTCTCACCTGTGCGTGTCTACCTTCATTAAATCTCATCACCTGTTGACTATTGCTACCACCTGAAACAACACACACACACACACACACACACACACACACACACACACACACACACACACACACACACACACACACACACACACACTAAACCCTCGCTCCATCATCAATGCTTCCCTCAGCCAACCAAGATGCTCGGCTGACTGGAAGACCTCCATATATGTCACCAGTGCCCAAGTCAACATGAGCTACGACCCATTGCCATCACCCCAATACCCACAGCTTAATCTGTAAGCTTCGTTTGACTGGGCTTATGCTGATATTGCAGGCGCCATAGATCCTCCACCACTCACTGTCTTGTCAGCTTTCTCGACTACATACACCGCCATCTGAAAAACGTCTTGCTGTCTTCACTTCACCAAAGCATTTGACCTAGTCGACCACAATCTAATCATCAACAAAGCTATCGACCTCAGGTTTGAAGAAGTCTTATACCATGGCTTACAGACTTCCTCAGTAACCGAAAGCAAATTATGCCTTCGAGGGACTGTCTCCATTTTCAGTCACTCTGTGGCGTCCAAGGCACCAAGATAGGACCACTCTGCTTCCTTATGCTTATCAATGGTGCCCCAAGAAAACCCTGCTCAGTGTCAACAACTCGACTCCGACTATACCGCCCTCCAGGATTTATTGAACAGTCTCCAAAACTGGACACCAACAACCACGTCACCATCAACCATACCAAGACCATGATTATGCACATCAACCTCTCCTACGTTGTCCCACCCCTTCCATTACTTTAGGCCCCAACACACTCCAGGTTGTCAATCCTAAGCTCCTCGGCGTCACTATAGAAAACAAACTAAATTGGAAAGCAATCGTGATCTCCACCTCCTCCGCCGACTCAAGTCCTCAGGTTCCTGCGACCAAGCTTCTCAGTGTTTACTCAACATTCATACTTCCCAAGCTCACCTATGCCTCCCCTACCTGGTCTTCTCCCAAAATGCCACAAAACGTAAACACCTAGAAAAGTGCAAAAGAGGTCATGCAAGATTATTCTCTCCTTCCTACTCCACATGTACCTAAAATCTCATCACTTCACCCAAAATAAGAACCAATCGCATACCGGAATTTACATCGTGTGAGCGTGAGATGTGTTCTGTGGGCGTGGAAGGTGTTCTGTGGGCGTAGTGGGACTTGAGAGGGTGTTTTGTGGGCGTGGGTGGGTCTTAGAGTGTTCTGTGCAGCGTGGGTAGGTCTTGAGGTGTTCTGTGGGCGTGGGTGGGTCTTGGGAGGTGTTCTGTGAGCTTGGGTAGGTCTTGAGAGGTGTTCTGTGGGCGTGGGTGGGTCTTGTTAGGTGTTCTGTGGGTAGGTCTTGGGAGGTGTTCTGTGGGCGTGGGTAGGTCTTGGGAGGTGTTCTGTGTGGGCTTAGGTCTTGGGAGGTGTTCTGTGAGCGTGGGTAGGTCTTGAGAGGTGTTCTGTGGGTATGGCTGGGTCTTTGAGGTGTTCTGTTGGCGTGGGTGGGTCTTGGGAGGTGTTTTGTGGGCGTGGGTGGGTTTTGGGAGTGTTCTGGGCGTGGGTGGTCTTGGGTGTTCTGTGGGCGTGGATGGGTCTTGGGAGGTGTTTTGTGGGCGTGGGTGGGTCTTGTAAGGTGTTCTGTGGGCGTGGTGGGTCCTGGGTGTTGTTCCGGTGGGCGTGGATGGGTCTTGGGAGGTGTTCTGTGGGCGTGGGTGGGTCCTGGGTGTTGTTCTGTGGGCTTAGATGGGTGTTCTGTGGGGGTGGGTGGGTGTTCTGTGGGCGTGGTTGGGTGTTCTGCGGGCGTGGGTGGGTCCTGGGTGTTGTTCTGTGGGCGTGGGTGGGTCCTGGGTGTTGTTCTGTGGGCGTGGTTGGGTGTTCTGTGGGTGTGGGTGGGTCCCGGTGTTGTTCTGTGGGCGTGGTAGGTCTTGGGAGTTGTTCTGTGGGCGTGGGTGGGTGTTCTGTGGGCAGGTCTTGGAAGATGTTCTGTGGGCATGCGTCTTGGAAGTCACTGAGCATGGATCTTGGAGGTCAGTGGTCTTGTAACCGTGTGGGCGTGGGCGTGGTCTTAAAGGCGTGTGGGCGTGGGCGTGGTCTTAAAGGCGTGTGGGCGTAGGTGTGTTTACATCGGGCTAAAGAGTTTCTCTCTGTTTAGGAGTTAAGAGGAACTATGACTTTTAATACTGAAGGAGAGAGGCTGTGTGTGTGTCTGTGTGTGTGTGTGTGTGTGTGTGTGTGTGTGTGTGTGTGTGTGTGTGTGTGTGTGTGTGTGTGTGTGTGTGTGTGTGTGTGTGTGTGTGTGTGTGTGTGTGTGTGTGTGTGTGTGTGTGTGTGTTTGACACTATGTGTCTCTCTCTCTCTCTCTCTCTCTCTCTCTCTCTCTCTCTCTATAAATTAATAAATTATTCCTCAGGTGACGACGTCATAATAATAATAATAATAATAATAATAATAATAATAATAATAATAATAATAATAATAATAATAATAATAATAATAATACTATGTCTTTATCCTAAATAAAACTTTATTCAATTCAACTTTTGTATAATGTCTTTTATATCAATTTTCAATATACGAATATACAATAAATTCCTATATTCTTTATCTCAATTCGTTTCATCATTTTCCTGTTCATTAGTTTGATTTGGCGATTAATTTTTAATGGATTCACGTCAACATGCTTACTGGCCTGGGAGGATTAGTTAACAAGGATCAGTAAAGTTCTATGATCAGTCGAGTAGTCAGTCAGTAAATCAATCAGTTAGGATCTGTATTCAGGTCGTTTGTTGTTGCAGTGGTCACCATATTTCATTATATTAACTAAAGCGACAAGAGTATTAATATTATAATCTAAATATATATATTAAATTGGAGCACTAACGCGCCAAACAGGAAATACCAGATTTATCCTTGTTTCATTATATAATTACTTCGTGTTAGTATTTTCCTATTACTAGCTGTGAAATAATTGTATAAATAAACAACAAATAACAATTAACCTGGAAATTATATAAATACCTTAAAACAATGACTAACAGGCGACACAGTGGGGGAGTGAGCGTGTTAATCCGATCATCTCCCAAAGTCTTATAATACTGGAACCATTTGAAAGACGACCTTCACTAACTCCTCACACTTATTACAACACTTTAGATGAGGTGAGTTTTAGATGTCGAGGTGAGTTAATGAGTTAAAGAACGATTCAGACATATTTTGTGTATATTCTCTTTACACACACACACACACACACACACACACACACAAAACACCACCATTGTGAATTCTTGCATACGTAAATTCAAAACTTCACCTCAAACCCTTTATCAGTGGTGGAGGGAAGACCGAAGGAGGAGCAGAGGAATGAAGTAAGAGAGGGAAATAAAGGAAGGAAGGATTAATAATAGAGAATGAGGGTAGGGATAATGAGTTCTAGGAAGGTTGGGGGAAGGGAGGGTGAGGAGGGAGGTGAGAGGAAGGGGAAGAGGGCTAATAGAATGGAGGAGGTTGAACGAGAGGGGGGGAGGCAAGGAACATGGAGGAGGGAGGAATGGGCACAGAAGTAGGAGGGGGGAGAGGGGCTAATGAAATGGAAGAGACGGTGTATGGGAGGAAAAGGAGAAAAAGGGGAAGGAAGGAAGGAGAGAAAAGGAGACTGGATTCAAGGAGGTGAAGATGAGGAAGCGACCATGGGGAAGGGGGAGTATAGAGAGGAAGAAGAAGATGGAAGAGAGAGGAGAAAGAAGAAAGAAGAAGAAGAAGAACCCACGTGTGACCTACCAGCCACTCGCCCCAGACCTCTCAAGGTCAGTCAGCTCCCACGACTTCGACCAAACACAAGTTCCCTCCTCCACCAGGCAGTTTACCACTCATCGCCGTCGGTCTGTCAACACGCCCCCTCCACGTCCCCTCCCCACACTCTTCTCATCATCCAAAGAAGTAAGAGAGTGGAAACGACAGGACGGCAACGGAGACCAGCCCCGCTGTACCCCGTGGTCGCCCAGGACACACAGCTGACAGGTGTGAAGGGATACCCTGGTGTGATCTCTGTTCCCGCAAAGGTCACACGAGGGACACCTCAGGAAAGCCCACGAGAAGAGAACAGCTCCTGAAGCTAACCTTAATAACCTCAACAGGCTCATAACCGAGGCACGACAGCCAGCTCAAACGTATCCCCACCTGACCTGATCCACCTACAGTTTCCTTACTGGGACACCTCTCCTGGATCTACAGCAGCTCTACGCACCCTTCTCCTGTACGTCACCAAACTCACGGACCAGCCCTGGTTTGGTTTACCGTTGTCGACTTGATGCAGAGGCCAAATATAGGGCGTGGTGAGGCTAAGAGGGCCCGACCTGACACAACAAATACATGCACCGAGCGGCCTGCAGGCTGCGAAATGGCCACATCAGTAAGTGGGCCACAATGAGGTGGGAGACCGATATACGTCGCAAGGTGACTGGGGCGGGGATGGCAAGAAGTGAATGGGCGCTGGTGGAAGCAGAGGATTAGCCAACAAGAGTCAATTCCTCCTTCCATCAAACCGGACGGAACTTTGGCTACCAGCAATAGGTCTAAGGCGGAGCTGCTAGGGAAGCTTTTAGCCTAAAAGATTGTTCCGGAACCCAATAGAACCCCCCACTTCACAACTAGAGTGTGAGAACAACTTGATTTAAGATATACTAGATCTTCTACACACACACCAACGACATTACTCCCAGTGATAGAGTATGAATCTCCCAAGGCTCAAGGCTCCCCAAGGTCCCCAAGGCTCCCAAAAGGCTTCTCACTATCAAGCTTTGACAACATCCAGTATCCCGCAAAGCACCAGATCCTTCTCTGTCCTTCAAATGGTATTATGGAACCATTCTCTTGTCACTTATCTTTACACCTTCTTCACTCCTGTAATCTGTCATCTACTGTCAGATCTACAAAGTTCAAGTCGGACACTTAGCAGAAATATGATCAAGTTGTTCACATTTAAAGCACCTGACTGGAGATTTATCCCAACTACCATCACTCTGTTCTCCTGGGTTACTTGACCCTGAGGTTTGTAATCACAAAAACTGCTACTGAGGTCTAAGACTAGTACCCTGCATTTCCTTGACACTTCCAATCTGTTTTTCCTTTTAGTTGGATTGAATGAAATATACCTAATCAGTCTTATCCCATCCTCTTATGACTGAAAAAAAAACCCTGACAGATATCTTATTAAGCCTCAAATTTACCTGTCGTTATGTCAAAAGAAGAGCAGCCAAGTATCAACAAAATAAAATACATGTAATTATTATTGTAACAACATCAAACAATTTGTATTTCATCACACACAATTATTTGAGTTGGCAACTATCCTGGCTTGGTGACATCATGCGCAGGGATGGGACTTAGTTTTCGTCTGCCCGTGAGTAGACCTTCTCCTCCTACACCTTGGAATTTACCAGAAGGTTCCTCCAAAATTATCACCTGCTGGTCCCGCCACCTTCTATCAGTGAAATGGCCTTGTCCTTGTCATCAACTAGTCCTCCGGCGTTTGCTTCTATTCTGCTCCAGATCACATTCCATACTGCACTGAGAGAGACCAGAGTGTGTATGACCATGTACAAGCTGGTGTGGTTCTGAGCCCAGTGGAAGTCATCTACAAGTCTAACAATGACTCGAACCATAATGCTCGACTCCATTGCTTCACTCCAGCTGCCTCTACCGGACACAATGGGCTCCTGAATCCCGTCACCGAACCTTCGTCTCTTAACAACCCAACACTGAAACAGTTTATATTATTATTACAAAACAAATGAACATGGAAAGAATTACGGGGCCATAAAAAACGGCAAAGATGGCGCTGTAAAGGCATGATGGGAGGTAGGTTAGGTTAGTTTACATTAGCTAGTTATTGAAGTTTAGATTAAGACACTTAAGGTTAAATCAGGTTAAACAAGTTAACTTTAGGTAAGGTTTGTTAACCCCTGGTGTGGGCTCCTCTGACATGAATAAAATCATAAGGCGTTAGGAGAAATAAAGTATTAAAAGTGTTTCGTCCTGTAGTGAAGGTCGGGTCAGGATTACATCTAACCAAGAGCTAAATGAGAAGAATTAGTTTGAGTTTGAGATTAGTTTCCATATAACGGATGGTGTGTGTGTGTGTGTGTGTGTATGTATGTATGTGTGTGTGTGTGTGTGTGTGTGTGTGTGTGTACTGGTCAACAAGTTGTGTGGCTTAACCCAACCTAACCTAACCCAACCTAACCTGACCTAATGTAATTTAACCATAATTTAACCTAACCTAGTTTAGCCTATCCTTACCTATCATAGCTTCGCCTATCCTAACAAAACCTAACTTAACTCAGCTTAAACTACTTTATAATTCAAGCTTATTTAATATAATTTAGCCTAACATAGCTACTGTACTCGACGCATCTTTTATATCGCTAATATTCGATAATCGACATAAAGGATCAAAATTTCCGATATTCTTAATATTCGACAAGGACTTAAAACAATCGACCATATATTCACCACAAAGAATATACTCCTAACTAAACAGTATTCGACATGTGAAATCTCAAAACACACCCCTTCGACCTTTCCTCCGACAACAAAAGGTCAAACTTACAAAATATCAACAAAACTCGACCTGGGGAGGATAAATGAGGATAATCTATGCTAGGCTGTCAGGAGGTCGATGGTCGTCGATACATCAGCGAGTTGTGTAATCAGGGAACTCATCAAGAAAGTCCCCCCCCCGGGCCACAAGGTTTTCACTGTGAGGATAACTCATTCATTTTCATTTCTGACGACTACTGGGTGAAGTTAATCTCAAAAATGAATATACAATGAAGGGTTTAGCTTTTATTTTTAGCTGACTTAAGTTAGATTAATCTAGATTAAGTTCAAATATGCAACAATGATATGTCATTGTAGTCTTAGAAAATTGATCTTTTTAACTGCCTGAGCTCCAAGCCAGAATTAGTTGAATCTAACCGACTTTAATCTAATCTA